GGTTGTGCCAGCCGAAGGAATTGAAAATAACAAAAGAAAGTAACACATTAAATTTAAAAAAAAATTTGCCTGCACACTTACGAGTTTAATCACTGTCTGTTGACATACCGATTCAGCACAGGGCCAGTACTTAGTCCATCGAGTGGCTTTCTAGCTACGATGTAAAGTCCATGAACAGACAGATGTCCTGTGGTGGTTGCTGCTGTACTGCTCTGCCTAGGCTGGAAAGCTGGAAGGCTTCACTAAGTAGTTCCTGTGTAGTTTATGGCCTCGCGATACAGTTCTCAGAAAACATCTGCCGTCACCCCTTGTCCTGCCCAGAGCACCCATGCGAATGCATTCCTCTGAGAGGTGGAAAGAGTAAAAATTTTACAAGTTTCCTCCTGGTATCATTCTATTTATAGTTTACACAGTATATGATAACTTTTAATTGTATCTTGAGTATATTTCAAATTTTCCTTTTGCTCAAAGTGCCCTTTTTAAGGCTGGGGGGATAGCTCGGCAGTCTAAGCACCTGCTTGGGAAGCAGAAAGACCCAGGTTCAATCCCCAATAGTGCGTGCTGTGCCAGCCAAAACCAGGCATGGTGGTGCCTGCCTCTAATCCCAGTGCTGGAGAGGCTGAAACAGGAGGTGGTGCCTGCCTCTAATCCCAGTGCTGGAGAGGCTGAAACAGGAGGGCCACTATGAGTCGGAGCTACATAGCGAGACCCTGTACCAAATAAAAGATTAAAAACAAATAATAATTACTGCCCTTTTTAGGGAGACAGGTAGTGTTCTAATGTTTTCAGCTGTAGAATGCAAAAATCTATATTAGTGGCTTTCTAAATTGGTAGAGCAAATCCTTAGTAGATGGAGCCTGCCACACCTCTCTTACCAGATTTTCTGCTCCTGTTTTAGTTCCACTTAGCTCTTTCTTACCCAACTTAATTGTCCCTTCCTTTCTCCTCCCATCTCACCTGTCCCACTGCTACCTCCAGAACACTGCAGCTTGCCAGTCTTATTGCATTCTTTAAATAATTATTTAACAGAAACAATAAAACACTGGATTCCACTCCAAAAATTATGGTGAAACAGTTACACTTTTGATGTACTGATCAAAATTTCTCATTTTATCCTTATTAAAAAAAAATCAGATTGACACAAATACAAAAGTAGAATATCAATCTGTTATTCCTAGTAATTGCCACTGCAATGCTATCTTTCAGTTTAACTATTCCTGCTAGATGGGTAAGACCAAGATAAAGCAAAACCTATATAACAAGAAGTGTAACTTTTGGGTCTGACAAGGTCAGTGAAATCCCCTCAGGATTTACCCTGAAACCCTGTACCGCAGTTTGTAGATCCCTTGTCAGTGTCAGCCACGTGGATGAGTCAGCGCCATTGCTTGGCCAGTTTGTTCTCTGTGAAAGCCTGAGAGAATGTTTTCTCTCCATGTGACTCTCCTTAGGCACACTCTACATCATCGATCACTTTCCTCTGTGCGGAAAACGCACCACTATTGTCGACCACTGGACTGTATTGGAATATTTTGCTGAATTCACGCACCTACAATATTTACATGACAATGGATTACCTGTCTCTGACAGAACTACACAAAAAAAGGGGATACAAATATGAAGGACCATTTTGTATCTGTATATTCAAAATAGGATAGATATACAGCTACTTTCTCTTAATTCAGTGAATAAAAAGACTTGTTTTAATAGAACAAGTTTGTGGACAGGATATCATGTCTGCATCTTGCATCTTGTACTATGAATAACCACTAAGTAGACAATATGCAACGTATTATTGAAACTGCCCTACTAATTGGTTTTGAAACTGTCTCATTGCTACTTGTTTCTCAAAATTATTTTTTTTATAAAAAGCGATAAGAAGCTTGCTAACAGTCTGTGGTTGGTCTTTTTTCTGTAGTGCTATCTTGCACACTTGCTTTTAATTCCGGTAATGTCCATTACTATAGTTTGTGTATGGTTTATCTCCAAAACACATATTAAAACTTGTTGGCTAACGTGAAAAGAAAAAAAATTATTCCTTATGAACAAGCAGCGGGGTCTAACGTCCATTGGTTAAAGTACCTCCTCCCTCTCCCTTGTCCTGCCGGGAGTGGCGGAGGGCCATGATGCTGCCACTGCCCCGGGGCAACAGCTCCTTCTTCTCGGCTGTCCCAGAGCATACTGGTTCTTCCCCAGTTCTGTATCTATGACCTCCTTCTAACATGAAGTTGAAATAGTTCTGAATACAAGTGTTCCTTGTTTAACAACCTGCCTCTTGGCGGGATACGGCTGGTGGCGTAAGCACTCGCCTGGCAAGCGCAAGGTCCCAAGTTCTATCCCTGGTACCGCCGAAGGAACACCTAGCCTGCCTGTTCTAGACTGTTTGGACTTAAAACCGAGGCGTGCAGTTCAGACTCAGAGCCCACGCGTTGGGGATACAGGTCTGTGCAGCTTGTTTCGAGAGCCTCGATGTGCTCTTGTACAGTACACCTTGTTTGTCCAGTAATTTTTGCTGGTGTTGCAGTACTGCACGTAAAGCTGTAGAAATAAAAGCAAAATCATCACGTTGGAGTTTCCTTTGACCTTTTCTTTGTTCTCAGTATTGAAAACTATGTACTCTACAGTCCCTTACTTAACTGGAGCTCAGTTGTTGAACAAGGCACGCCTGGGTGGAATCCTGATGGTGACAGTGGATGCTAATGCACGGCAGCTGTGCTGGATCCTCGCGGCCCTCGCAAGCCAGCTAGCCTGACCGAGCACTGACTCCTCGGAGTCACAGACTCCAGCTTTGACGGTTGCTGTTAGAACAATGTGCATCTCCTGCGTTTGTGCCGATCTCGGACACCTGGAGTCGGCCTTTCTCTGCCGCATGGTTCCTGTTTTCTAACTGTAGGGCAGTAACCTGCATTCCCCTTGTCCTTTTTTTGCTACCCAGATAAACTGATCACTGGTGACACAAGCATAGGTTCTATATTTCATTATTCATAGAGCTATACAAGGTTGGGTGAGGGAAAGAATACTGGGCCAAAACAAAACTTACCTTTTTAAGAAATGAAGGTAGCTTCATTTCAGCCAGAACCACCATCTTCCAGTAAAATGACGAACACAAAGGGCAAGAGGAGGGGAGCCCGGGATATGTTTTCCAGGCCTTTTAGAAAACACAGGGTTGTTCCTTTGGCCACACACATGTGAATCTACAAAAGGGATGATATTGTAGACATCAAGGGAATGGGTACTGTGCAAAAAGGCACGCCTCACAAATGCTACCCTCGCAAAACGGGACAAGTCTACAGCGTTACCAGCATGCTGTTGGCATTGGTGTAAACAAGCAAGTCAAGGACAAGATACTTGCCAAGAGGATTAATGTGCGTATTGAGCATATTAAACACTCAAAAAGTCGTGATAGCTTCCTGAAACGTGTCAAGGAAAGTGATCAGAAAAAGAAGGAAGCCAAAGAGAAAGGTACCTGGCTCAGCTGAAGCGCCAGCCTGCCCCTCCCAGAGAAGCACACTCTGTGAGGACCAAGGGGAAGGAGCCTGAGTTGTTGGACCCTCTTCCCTATGAATTCATGGCATAAACTGGGGACGTTGCTCTGCCATTCAGCACCTAATTGGCAGCCTAAGTGTTCTAGGTCCTACGTAAAAATGAAATCATCCTGTGTTGTAAGGGTGGTTTTCTTCGTTGAGCAGGTGTGTGGTGCCTTCTTACCTCAGAAATATTTGCAGCCGATTTTCACTGTACCCAGTAATTGTGTCTAGTCTTTACTCTTCAGTATTTTCTTGCTGAAAGGTATTGTGAAGTATATACCCCAAAATAGAAATATTTATAAAATACTTATACTGGCTTGAAGATCCTGTAAATCATCATGGGGAAAAGATGTATCAAAATAAATGGAAGTCACTTCAGAAACGACAAAAAAAATTAAGGCAAACATTGCTGGCTTGAAGTATAACCAAGACTAATGCGAGCATACTCTCAGGAGCAGAGGACTCTGCGGCACCTGATTATACCCACACAGTGGCCACCTGAGTGTGCCCTGTCGTTGCAGCTCTGGAGGCGGATGGGAGGGCGCATTGTGCTCCCTGAGGGGCTGGCCGCCACGTTGCAGCAGACCTCAAAAAGAGCAGAGCGTTTACCATGATTATTTTTTAAATGTGACATAACATAAAAGAGCAACAGGTGGACAAGGGGATCCACACGGGAGACCAGTGAAAGTGATGAGTTGGAGAAGGAAGCGATTGTAATAGCCGCTCAGCTGCTCGTGAGAGTAAGGGTCGCTGCCTGGATCGTGGCACTCCCGCTCGGTTCGCAGCCACATAGCAGGTTCCTGGCAAGTACTGCCAAGTGGCCGGGAGGGCAGGAGCAAGGTAATAAAGGGGACTTGCTTGGGGGCTCAAGTCTTTTTTTTTTTTTTTTTTTTGAGGAACCGGGGATTGAACTTAGGTCCTTGCACTTGCCAGGCAAGTGCTTATTTATCTGAGCCATCTCCCCGGCCCCACAGAGCTCAAGTCTTTACAAAATGTAGTGCCTGGATCTTAATGCCAGAAGGGTCTGAAACAACAAATAACCACCAAATAGTGCATGCGTGGTTGGTTACCTGGGAAATACCAGTGAACATTTGCAATGTCGGATTATTTGACGAACTTAGTTTTTGTTTGTTCTTTTTTAATTTATATATTTAAGACAGGGTCTCACTATGCAACTCTGACTTGTAGTGAACCTCCTGTCTCAGCCTCCCCAGCGCTGGGATTACAGGCATGCACCACCACACCCGGATTTGGTCACTGATTCAGCGTGCCCGGGACGGTGCTGGCACAGCATGCAGTACTGGGGATCGAAGCCCAGTCCCTGCGCTTGCCTAAGCAAATGCTTAGTCTGCTGAGCTAGCTCACCAGTCAAGGAACTTAGTTTAAAAGGTTAAGTCTTCCTGTTATTTGATAAAGCTATAAGATTGTTTTGAAATCAATCTTCTGTATGTATAACTTTATTCTGTTCTTTTTTAGGTGGCATCCTTAGCTGGGCCAGGGGGGCAAGTGGAAATAGAACAGAACTTTCTGAACAATAAATTGAAGACAATCACGGCTTATTTTGGAGACCTGATCCGAAAACCAGCCCCTCCAAACTGTGAGGCAACATAGAGACAGAAGGATCACATAGCGCGCAGAGATTGATCGCGCACGCTGGGAGTGGCCGTGGGCGGTCCCTGGTTCCTGCGCACGCGCTCTTCCGCGTCGCGGGGCGCGGGAGCTCGCCTGAGCCGCTGGGGGCTGCTAGAGAAGCGCTCTGAGGTCTGGGGTCGCTAATGAAGTTGTGTGTGCTGCACACATGAGGACGGCAAGCGTGACACAGGACAGGCTGCTCCTGTGGTCAGCTCGGCCTGTGTCCGTATGTGCATCTTTACATTTTTGTGTTTTATCTTCTTTGTGTATCTTTACACACATACATCGATGTGTATGTTTATATAAAAATAATTGTTTTAATGTGGAAAAATACAAAGAAAAAATGAATGGGTAATATTTACCCATCCATTTTACCTCTGTTGAAATAATGTTATACATTTAAGCTGAAAATGTATAATTTAATCCTAGAATGATATAAAAAGATGTTTCACACCCCCTTCTCTACCCTGCATTCATCTACCCAAAGGTAATCACAGCTGTGTTAGGACACAGGGGTCGAGGCCTGCCCTGACGCACCACTTTTCCTCACTGGTGCACTGTCAGCGCCCTGCCGCCTCTTCTGATCTGTGCGTCGGAAGGCCTCCCCACGCCAGCACGTCCGGGAGCCCACCTCATTCCTGCGCTCCGCTCTGGGCGCGCCACGCTCGCACCCGCTGCCTGCTGGGGGTCACTGGGTTGCGTCAAGTTTCCACGTCTGTCGGCTGCTCCTCACTGTACGTGAGTGTAGTCCCTGTTGTGAGCACAGCACTGCAGATGCCTCGCAGCGCAGATCGCTAGGGGGCTGCCTTTGGTTGTGGCTGGTCTGATGTCTGAGGTCTGTGACACCTCAGCTGGCCTGTGGCCCGTGCTGGGTTGCACTGTGCCCGCCCGCACCAGTGTCTCCATGTCTTAGCTGACGCACAGTGCCGCGTTGCTGCAGCAGGACGGCTCCCGTCCCCGTCTGGAGAGCTGCCTTGTCCTCGTGGCTCTGGGTCCTCTGGAGTTTGCCTTGAACATCCCTCTATAAAATGAATATTTTTGACATTTCCTTTGCAAACCTAATGTGAAGTATGTTTTGTAATAGGGAAGTTTATATTCTTTTTCCATTAAAATGACAATTAAAAGAGTGTTGCCTCATTTTATCTGAACTGTGCTGTTAGTTTTGCTCGTAAGAAGAGCGGCGTTCCCTTTAGCGTCATGGTTAGGTGCAGGGCTTTCTGTCTTGTAGCGGTGGAGCCTGTGATGTGCCTACTGAAAACAGTGCTTTGCTGGGACTAAGCCTAGGGGAGAGGATGCAGCTCGGTCTCCGAGTGTGTGCTCGGTGTGCAGGAGGCAGGCGGCTCATCCCAGCGCTGAATAATAAACAGCATGAGCAGAGCTGCCGGAGCAACGGCCCTGGTCCCAGTGCCGCTCTGTGTACCTGACGCCTGCAGGCAGTTGTGCTGGGCATTAGGGGAGCAATTACTTCATCAATTTGTAGCATCAAAATGTGTCCAAATGAGCTTGAATCCTGTACTTTGTGACATGACAGTGTTTATATCATAAACTTGTAACTCTAACATTAGGCGTCAGCAGTTCTCTACACAGCCAGCCCCTGGGACTAGGAAAGTTACAAACGCGTAAAAGAAATCATCCGCTCTTTTTCAGTTGTCACGCACTAATGTAATGTATACACTGTACAGAGCACATATCTGTAGTTGTGCACTGTTAAACTGCTTCACGAGCGGGTGTGGCTGCACACACCTGTAGGCCCTGCGCCTTGCAAACTAAGAGGATCAGAACCTCAGGGCCAGGCTGGGCCGCAGCAAGGCCCCGGCTCACAGCTGGTCTCAGAAGAGCTCATTGGCAAAATGCCCCATCTTAACCTCCCAGTCCACAAAAAAAGAAGCAATTTTTTGAAACTGAAGTCTTCCTGTCCACTGATGACATGGGGGAATAACTGACTTAGGGATTTTCACAGATCGTTAGTGCTCAAGGGACCTCAGAAAGGCTCTTGTCCATTGTGTGAATCATATTCAAATCAAATCTCACCAAGAACCCAAATCTGTCAAACAGATCAAAAAAGTTGAGCTGCTTAGACTAAAACAAGAATCAAGAAGTTAGCAGCCCAGTTCCAATCCAGCCTACCCTTTTTTTTCTTAATTGCAAAATCTTGTGTCATGGCTTAGGGTCTTTGCGAGGTGATACGTTTTATAATATTTTATAATGAATCATCCTAAGAATCATATACAAAGTGCAGTAAATTGTCCACACTCTAAAGACCAGAGAATCCAGCTGAGGCCCTGGGTCCTGACACCCTGCGTGAGTCCAGTGGGAGACCTAGAGCCAGTACCAATGCCTCCGGCTGAGGCCCTGGGTCCTGATACCCTGCGTGAGTCCAGTGGGAGACCTAGAGCCAGTACCAATGCCTCCGAGCGTCCAGCTGGAGGCCTGCGAGGCACGATAAAGCCTCCCGCAGGGCCACTCCACAGATCTGCACAGGAAAGGCCCAAAGGTCGGCGGTGCAGGCTAGAAAGCCTGTGTCAGTGGGATGAAGGATCTGTGCTGGCAGGCTGAGGAATCTGAATGGGAGCTAAGAAGCAACGCTCAAGGGAAAAGCTAGAGCACCCCCAAAAGTACCACTGCCGTCCTCAGCACAAGTGAGGTCCTGCGCTCCAATGGTGAGGAACGCCGTGCTCCCATCAGGAAAGCCAATGTGACAAGCCTCTCCAGGAGGCTGAGCTGTGCGCCACCTTCCTCTCCAGAACCAGGAAGCCTTGCTTTACATGAGGACATTGTAAAGTGCCTCCAAAGTGAACTGCAGCCATTCAGCGCCAATGAAGGTCCCGTCTAGGACCGGGCAGGTTCATTAGGAAAGCCAGCATGACAAGGATCTCCAGCAGAACAGCCCAGGAGAACTAGCCGCTTCTCCAGTCAGCATCCGTAACAGCCTCTCGACAGCTTCTCCACTTCTGCCTCTTAAGCGGCTGGCAACAGTCCTGGGGGAGGGGGTCTCCCACACCCTGCACCGCACTAGTTCAGTTCAGCTGGGGTAACAAGCTGACCATCAGTTACAAATCCCCTATGCCTTGAGAAGAATTATTTGATAAAAGTGAATATATTTTAAGAATCTCAACACAGGCCACGCAAGAAGTGGCCTCACCCTTAAAGCCTTCCTGTTCTTTCCTGTCTGCCACACGTCCACTCCCTGGAAGAAACAACACCGCTGCTTATCCTTCCACAGGGTTCCCTGTGCGGTCAGGCTTGTGCACACACTTGGGGTGGGAGAGGGTTTTATTATTTAGAAGTTTGATTTTTGCTGTTGGGGTTGAACCCTGGACATGTGCTGTCATTGTGCTACACCCCTAATCTTTGAACCATATTTGTAATTTACTGTCTTTTAACTTTTTCTACATCAGTGCAAATACAACTGTGCTATCCATTTTAGGAGACACAGGTCAAAAAGAATGACTTTAACCAGGACCCAGTTACAAACATTTGAACGAACAGCTTTTGCAGTTGCTAGTGCTGCCTGCGGGGTGTGCTTCTAGGGTAGCTTCCCAGAGGGGCGAGTTTTCAGTCAGCAGTCCTCCTTATTTGCAGTGAGTACCTAGTCAGCTTGATCTCCAAAAACACATTGCCACTAGGGCATGCATTGTCTGCATACCCTCAAAACCATTTGTATTTTCATTTGTTGTGACTAATCTGGCCAACCAATAAAGTTGATTAAGTCATGCTTATCAATTTGCTAGTAAGGTATGATCAATTTTTTATATATTAGCTAAACACATACCAGACATCAAAAGTTTGCTAAGTGAGTAACCAGTTGCTGTTTTTCTGTTGAGTGAACTAGTGTTTCTAATTGGAAATCTAACCCAGCCTTGAACCCTACAGTGCCATGTGTGTGGATGTGTATGTCCAATGAGTGTAACTGTTCCTGAAGTTTGTTCCTTCGGTCCACTTGTCCTCTCCTATGCTTGAATTTGTTTGATTAAGCTTCAGTGTCTGCTCGTGGCTGTGAGTCCCCCATTATTTGCTAGAATCAAGTGCTGCTCTTCAAGTCCCAGGGGTTTCCTCCACGCACACAGCTCTTGGGATGCAATCCAGCGCCGCCCTCGCACAAGGAGGCGAGGGCTCCTCCACTGCGCCGTGGCCCAGCCCTCTCAAGGTGAACTGCTGCTTGATTTTTGAAAGTCTAGCAAGTTAATCCAAGCCAGCTTCCATGCACCGTGGAGCCGCGGCTACCTGACATGCCGTCCTTGCGCTGCAGCCTCCTGAGTGCTTGGGGGATTTTCAGTTTTCAGTTTAGGAAAAGTGGCATCCAGCCAACGCTGAATCTTGCTGTGCAAGCACTTGTTCTTCTGTTAGCTACCATTCTTTTGTTGGTCTGATGGCCTGTGTTCCACTAAAGCCGTACCATTCAGAGTACGAATTTGCGTTGTTTGCCAAGTTTATTGCTGGGTGTTTCATACTTTTTGCTTGATTTTGACAAGGATCTTGTTCTCTTACACTGTCTAAGAGGCTTACTGCCTGCAAGAATACTGCTTTGCATTATTTCCAATCATTGAATGAATTCTTTTAAATAATTCTTCCAGTAGTTTTTTTTCATTTGATTCACTTTGATTTTCTAAATGGCCGCCATTGCTTCCGCACGTGTGTCTCCTTGCCAGTGCATGTGGCTCTTGGTTTTTATTCTGGTCCTAGTCCACCGGTTGGGACTGCCAGGAATGTTGCAGTAGTGACATTTGTGTCTTGCACTTAATTTTCAGTGAAAGGTAGCTTGCATTAAAATTAAGATACAACCTTTCCTAGTTTTGTTGCTTGTGGAGAGCTGCGAAGGACCACGCCTACAGGATTGCGCTGGTTTCCGCCTTCCACCCCCGTGGGTGAGCGCTCTCTGTGCATACCAACTCCTTATATGGCCAGGGCTGCAGTCATGATTCGCTTCCGCATAGGCGGGACCCATGGGCGATCCCCACGTGGCGCACTGGGATTGGGCTCGGGAGTATATATTAGCCAAGGGCTGGGGGATTGGGGAAGAAGAAGCTTGCTGTAAGGGGCCTGAATAAACTGCTGAAGGAAGAGCTGTGTGTTGCGTCTTCCTTGCTGGCGAGGTCGCGTGCAACAGTTGCTCTTACTGAATGTGCTGAAGCCCAAGTTACCTTGCTTTTGCACGTGACGCAGCCATGCCCGCATTTCTGTCGTTGAGCCCTGCGGCGCCGTGATGTGGTAGTCTGCTTTCTGCCGCCCGAGCAACAGGAGGGAAGGCTTACCATGACCCACGCTTTCCTAAGCCTTGGGCAGGGGCCAGCCCGAGGGG